AAACCTTCTTTGTGAACCACACGTGTCACGAGAGTTTCTCTGTCGAACGGGGCAAGTCTCACAGGCCTAAGTACCTTTTTTTTTTTTTTTTTTTTGCAGTTTTTCACTGTAATTTTTCTTGTGGATGCCAAGAAAGTTACACAGTTAGTATGTCCTCCTTTTTCCCTCCCTTTTCTTCCTTTCCAATTGTCTGTGTCCTCCTCTGCTTGTTCAGATATCTCGTAACCTTATGTGCATCTGAGGGAAGTTGTATGTACATTCGCTGGTGTCACTGATTATGTAGGTATAGGGAAAGAGAGAGAATTTTCGTATGTCTCTGTGTATATATGAGTAAATGTCAACCAAATGTGTGTGTTTGGACTGGCAAACTCTCTGAAGTCCTCACCACAATCCTCAGCCCTCAAAATGCTATTCTCCCAATGGTCTGATTTGGCGTACAGCAAACTAGTTTGTACCTTGCAATTCTCCTAGTTGCATGGCCCCTAGTTGCATGGCCAACTTTAAAGAACTGGTATTTGTTTAAAGATCTATTCCTTTAGAAGCCCCTTGGTTTGTTCTTTGAAAGAGTTATAATCATCCTTCCAATGCAGTGATCCCCAAGGTGAGCCACAGCAAATCACAAGATAAGATCCAAAACATAAATCTGATCAATGGGTAACATGGGCTCATAAAAACATATCACTATACTAAAACAGCACCAAATTATTATGCCATCCTTCAGTTTCAAAGGTTGCTAGGTATATTTGGATTGATTTTGTGCAATGCTGTATTTTTAAAGCCCTTTAAAAACAAGAAGCAAAAAGCTTCAGAATTGACAAACTACAATGGTGCTGGATGATGGGAAGTTAATTTGGAAACAGTGAATTATTGCATGAGCAGATCAGTAATATTTAAGGGAAGAACTGTATGATTTAAAAAAAAACTGTTTGGTTTATCTTCATTTTCAGCAGTGAACATCAATACCCACTGAGCCCCACCCCTTGAATGCCACAAGGAGTGGTGCTGGGTAAGAATTGCTCAAAATTCCGTGTCCTACAATCCCAGCAAAATATTGCCGAATGAAACCAGGACATGTGTGTGCATTACATCCAGACAAAAGATATTTGCTGTTGGGAGCCGGAGTGTTCCTACATTCATTGTAATATGTGGAATTGATACGACAATGAGAATTAGAGTGAACGTTTTGTTTCTTCTTAAGGGCAGCCCCTTTCTCCAAAATGTGCTTCTTTGTTTGCAAATTAAGTTCTTGCTTGTGTTAGGAGTGTGGTTTGAACTGTGCAGATGACTAGCAATGGAAATAAGAACTGCATTTTAAGACTGGTTCAAATATGTTGAAGATAGATAGATAGATAGATAGATAGATAGATAGATAGATAGATAGATAGATAGATAGATAGATAGATAGATAGATATTCTTACCAGCTAGTATGTGCTGAAAACAGGTTTTCTCCTTTCAATTTCTAAAATTTAAGAAAGGTTAGGGTTAAGCTGAGGGCCTTATAAATGAAAGTTAAGCTATAAAAAGCATAAAGCATTCACATCTGCTATCTTTGGCATGAATAATAATCTGGTCTCTGAAACATAGGAGGTGAGAAGTTTGGCATGTGTAGAGCTGACTATATATTTAGTCTAAGCTGCTCCTGGGCACAAAATGTCTTTTAAAGGCATAGCATGTGCCTTGAATATTAATATGGAGTTGAAATCTATGGGTGGAGAAAGGTGGCACACCTATTTGGACCACAGGATAAACTAGGGTTGTTATTGTCTGCTGGTTCTGCAAGTATTTGACTCATAAAGAAAGGTGTTGTTTTAACCTGCTGCAAAAGATTGTCATAAGACATATTTGTACCTAAGGAATCACGGTATGTGCTCAGGGGCATTCTGTTGAGGCAGGATATCAGGGTTTGGCCTGGCACAGCTCTCAATAACCTGCTGTTCTGCCAATACAATTACAACTGCTCCCCAAATTTTCACCCAGAATTTCATCTTTGGCTATATTCATGGGGTCTCTGGGAATTGAAGTCCCAGCCAATCCAAAATATGCAGCTGATTTAGAGACTGGGTTGTTTCTGCTTTAGCCCTTTCTTCTGGGTGTGTCCAGGTGGACACTCCTTAGGACCACCAATCAAAAGATGTGCTTCTATTCGACTTTGTTTTCCTTAAAGGGTTTTCTGAATTGTATTTATTTTCAACTTGCTTATGCAGGCCATCCCACTGAAAGGCTCATGGGGTACAGCTGATTTTAACCTCTCTGCCCATGTGTCCATTTTGTGTCCAGCTGCTAGTAAAAAATCAGGTAGACCTGACAAGACTGAAGCATGTGTCCTCCTGATACGTAGTAGCCAACCTTCTCTTCCTGCAACTGCTCATAGAGGACCTCTAGAAAACAAGTGAGCAAGAATGCCAGTGGCTTCGTCAGCTGATGCTCAGAATCAAACAGCCTCAGGAAGGTCTCCTTCTATCAGCAGATGCATCTGAGAAGAATGAAACTTCAGTGACCCAATTGAACAGGCTTAGCCCTTTTTAAAGCTGGAAAGTGGTATACAAATGGTAGTAGCAACCACATCTCCCACTTCACCCCATGTCTGAACTTTAGGCAGCAAATTTAGGTTATTCTTACAGAATTTTTTAGATACAGCATCTGCAAATGAAGACAAGTGAGTTTCAGGAGGAAAAGCAGCCAAGCTTGCAAGCTGACCAGAGCTTCCACCTACCTGAATCATTCATTCCTTTTCTGGGACTAGCAACCTCAGGGACTCTCCTTCTCCAGGGAAGTTTACTTTTGGAGTTGCTATATAGTTCTGAATGGCACCCTTCTGTTTCACTCTGCTTGGCTTCTTCAGAAAGGGAGGAAGGATCGTCGTGGCTATTCCAGATTACGTGCACAACAAGAAGAGTGAATTCAGTGGAGGCTGTCTGGGTTGGCTTTAGCAGTCTAAATTATCTAGGCTATTACGTATTTAATTGAAAATTCTGGATTGGATAAAATAGGATTTCAGTTCGGCCATGTGGATGTTGTGTCCTGATTGTCATTTTACTACTGAAACTATCAAAAACAGATATTGGTAGAGCCCTTACTTCAGCAGAGCAATTCCCCTCATTCTGATTGTTCAGAGAATTACAAGAATGCCCTTACGAAATGCAAAACATAGTATGGTCTGAAATATAAATTAGCAGTTGGTGCAGATCTTTGAAGGGGCACTTCATTTTATCACAACTTTGATCAAAGGGCTCCTTCAGAACAAAGCAACATCCCACTTTTAATCATCAAAGCAGCCACACTGTTTTAATAAAATTGATAACAGGGGTTTTCTGAGCATGTGCAGCCACACATACAGAAGCCCAAAGCATCTGACTGAGCTGCATTGGCCCTGAGTTGACATTTCACTGAGGTGGAGCAACTAGCAGCAGTCACATGTACAGGCCCATATATGAGACCAGCCTTCCCCCGTCTGAGTGGTTCCTCCAGATGTCTGGATTTCTAAGCCCCAGAATTCTCACCAAAAACTAGGCAGTTGGAGGAATTCTAGGAGTTGAGTCCTGCATATTGGAAGAATGCTGTGATTGGGTAAGATGAAATTAGAGTTTGAAACTGAAAAGCAAGGGATCAATTCTATTAGCAGTGGCCTGCGATTCCTGATATAAGGATGTTGCAAAGTGAAAGGCATACATTAATCTAAGCATGAACTCAAAGTATCGTGCAAATAACTAGCGTGTGTTTCCAAGAAAGAAACCCTGATTTGTTCAGCAGTTCTTACCTGGCAGACTTTGCTTTGCCCAATCTGCTTTTAGTGCTGCTACAAGAAACTGAATTCAGGAACTAGCCACGTCTTTGGTGCTCTGTCCTAAGCATCCTTTGCGAGCAAGAGGTCTCGAGTTCAGTAGGATACGCTCCACTCAAAATAACTGCTTCTTCACTTCCGTGGAAGGAAGCTCTGTATGCCCAATGGCATCAGGTAGAATACTGCAAGTTCTTCATGGTAAACAAAGAAGCTGGTGGCTTGTCTTTGGGCTCAGCCTGTGCAAGATAGTATGCAGAGGTTATGAATCAAGAAACATGCCTGAAACAAAAACACTACACAGCCTTCAACTAAAAGTGCAGAGTTTGCAGTACCAAGAGAGAAACGTCCCACCCCTCTCAGTCATTCCTCTCCATTAGAACATTTTTTAGCATTGTACTGACCTCCAAATGCCATGCTTTCTTCTCCCTCCCATTCCTCTTTACTCTCTGTTATTACTTAAATTCTTGGAGATGGGGAAATAAAATATTGAAACAGGAAAAATGTTATGGCATGATCCAATCTGACATTTTAAGTTCCAATGATTTCAGCAGGGAGAAAGAGAAGCAGGCATTAAACTCTTCTACTGAGTGAAATTAAAGCTGCAGTCCTAGACCCACATATTTGAAACTAAGCCCTGTTACCCTTAGAAGACTTTCTCATAAGCTGACTCATTTCTCGTTTTCCTTTATATGAAGGTTCCCCGGGCTAAAGCCTTATACAGCTACAGAGGACAGAACCCTGGAGAACTGAGATTCAACAAAGGAGACATCATTATATTATACCGTCAGCTGGATGAAAACTGGTATCTAGGAGAAATCAATAGGGTCAGTGGAGTTTTCCCAACAAATGCCGTGCAAGTTATCAAACAATTGCCACAGCCACCACCACTGTGCCGAGCACTATATAATTTTAATCTGAAGTCCAAGAATAAAAATGAAAAAACAGATTGCCTGCCATTTCATAAGGTAAGTCCAGCACCCAGCCTCCAAAGATGAAAATCTAATTTAAGAATGTCCAGTTCAGGCAATAAGCAGTGATTCATTCTGGTCTGTCTCTAGACTTCATTTATGATGTGTACCTGATGATATAGCAAGAGAAAAAAGAAAAAAGAAAGAAAGGAAAAGAAATGAAAAGAAACAGTGTAGTGGACAGGCCTCCTTGCTCCACCATTTCCTAGATTCTTAAGGTGTACGGTAATGGTGAGCAACCTTTTTAGTAACTATGTCTCTATTTAAGTGTTTGTTTCTTTGGAAGCAATGTGAAGTCCACTTTTCATTTAACGTGTTCCCAAAGCAGGATACAATAAAACAAAACAATTCTGCCACTTGAGTGTTTTCCTCTACGGAGGTGGACAACCCATGCCATACATATCCACACCTTTCCTGCCCTTGCCACCAGTATGGTCCTTCAATAGACCTACCACCTTTATGTGCCACTGCTCTATCCATTCCTACTACCTGGGATCTTTCTGCTTCCATCAGGCATCAGCTGGGCAGTAGGAACAGATTCCTGTTTCCATGTTTCTATTAGGACACGAGTTGTACGAGGAATTCTATGCATGTTTTGTTATTGTTTTCCCTCACTAAGTGCAATAAGAAGGGACCCAAGTGAACTCCCTTCCTCAAAGCTCTCAGAGTCTTAAGAAGGAGATCTCACACAGCGATTGTCGTCGTCATCATCAAGTCTCCAATGTGTCATATTCACCTCTTTATTCTTGTAATAGTTTTCCTAGCCTTCAGCCCTTTCTTAATTCCCTTTCTAGTTTTTTCCTTCTATATTCCTTACAGAGATTTCTAGTTGTACTATTGGGCTGTCTATAAACAGATTCTACTACTTTTGGCAAACCAGCTTGCAGATACAGGAACAAAAACATTTCCACAGTAGTGATTTATAGTGTCACCCAACAATTGCTGTGGTGAGATGAAGCCTGTCTACTTCTGTGATATATTGCCACAGCAATGGCTGGATGATACTATAAATTGCTATTGCAGAAATGCTGATTGTCATCCTGCAGCAGCCCACTGGCCAACTCTGTGATGCAAGTGAATGACATGATTGCATCTCCCTATATATCAAAATGCTGTTAACTCTTCTAACCTACGCGATTAAATAGAATCATAACTTTAGCCAACTGCTCCTTATCAGCAATTTATTCTATATTTACCACATTAGATTCATCATGATCTTTAGCTTCATAATTTCATAGGTTAGGCAGATTTCATGTTGATAGTATACAATAATAGTATAGGTTTCACCACCGCAAACATAAGATGCTTGCAAGCAATGGATCAAATGGTGCTTTAAAGGAAAATGGTTTACAGGGTACATCAGAAAACAGATGCTAGTGATTTCTAGCATCTTGTGGTATCATCCAACCATCACTGTGCTGATATAACAGTAATGAAGACAGACTTTTTATTGCCATAGTCACGGTTGGGTTATGCTAGAAGATACTATAAATCACCAGTGAAAAAACAGAGACAGAATACCTAGGCACCATAGAATCCTCAATTTCATCCCCCAAAGCACACTACATTTACCCTGTGAATATTTTTCTTGTTCCATTGCTCATAACTAACAGGGCCACCTAAGCATGGACCCTGCAGCATCAGGGAGCTGACAAAAGATGCAGATTGCACGGTAGAATGACAGTTGGCCCACTGAGAAGGAAGGAGCAAGGTTTCTATTTCAGATTCAGGGTGGCAAAGTGAATAATGAGACCAAGCCACATTTAAGCATGTTCTTATACTTACTGTATTGAGATTACAGGAGAGTTGGCTTGCGGGAGAGCTGTAAGAACATGGTTCCGATTCCGAACTGCCAGTTGTGATCATTGCCTGAGACAGGGAAGAGCCAGCTGTGAGCGCCAGTTTTCACTGCAGCATCTGCTGCTGCTCATTTCATCATTATAAACACTTCTAAAAGAGTCTTTCTACAACTGTATGCACAATGAGGAATCCTAGAGAGGGACAATTTATTTTGTTCACTGCAGACTTTTTCTTATCGCATGCCATCCGGCTTTGTGTCTTTTGCTTTTTAAAAAGTGCTGCTGGAGACAAAGCTCCTCTGCTCTTTTACACCGATGTTGGGATTTGGGGGTTTCATGTAAAGCATTGTCATTTGGGCAAAAGAAGGGATTTTATTACGTTCTCTATGGCTGAAGACATAAGATCAGATTGGTACATAATGGAAAGTGACTTGCCCAGCCACTGCAAAGGTTCATCTGCTTTCCTGTCACTTTCAAGATTTCAGCTCTCAGGTTTTTGTTTCTTCAAACCTCTCTTTCTCCCTTCTTCTTTCTTCTGGCTTCTTCTTTGTTTGCTTCCCTCCAACTCTTCTGGCTTCTCCATTGATGCTCCATTGATTTCAAAGCAAGATCTTTTCTAAAGAGCTGGCTTGTTTGATACATAAGGGCAGGGTTCTTAAGGGTGTTGTAACAGGGAAGGGAGGGACATGGGTGTGTTGTTTCTTTCACAGCCCTCAACCAACACACTTCTAATATCACAAGTACATGTATTCCTTATAAGCCCATTTCAAAGGGGGGGGGAGGGATATCACACATCCTAGACTTACTCCCTGATGTCTATTGACCCATTCGCTAGCCATTCCATTTATTCCCATGCATGCTTTATGGCCATGACATTTTGCTCTCATCACATTCAGCAATCAACCTTCAACTCCACAAACAAAATGTTCCATAGTTAAAGCCTATTCCTTATATCATTGATTGATTGATTGATTGATTGATTGATTATGTGCCATTAAGTCATTTTTGACTCCTAGTGACTACATACATAGATTTTCTCCATGTTGATCTATCCCTAACCTGTTTTTTCAAATTTCCCAATAGTACACTCACTGCCACTGTAACTGAGTCCATCCATCTTGCTGCTTGGTCATCCTCTTCTTCTCTTTCCTTCCACCTTTCCCAGCATTAGAGCTTTTCCGGAGAGCTGAGTCTTAGCATAATATGTCAGAAGTAGGATAATTTGAGCCTGGTCATTTGTGTCTTGAGTGAGAACTCTGGGTTGATTTGTAAAACAACAAACTTACAATAAGCTTTCTTTCTCATATTCATATATTTCCCAGTGATCTGCGGAAAAGAAAAAAAAAAATCTCTTCTACATACCCTCTCCCCAGCATAAAGCCATACTGCATTTCTCAAATTTTGTTCATTGTCACTACTTCTGTCCTATAATTCCGAATTCTATCAAACACCTTCCCAGGCATACTTAACAAACAAAATCCTTCATTCACGCTTGCTATCTTTCCCTTTTTAAGGAATAATGCTATTCTATCAGTCTTCAGACACAGATGCAGTCTTCACGTGCACATTAAACAAATCACACAGCTACTCCATGAGCAAACTATATCTGTATTTTAACATAACCTGAGTTACAATATTTATACCTGCAGCCTTATCATTTTTTCAATGTTCTGACAGTGTGGCATCCTTCTCAGCATTTTTGTCTAGAATATTAATATGGATTTCATTCATTTCAGTTCCACTCTTTCAACATATAACTGTCTGTCCCATACAGATCTCTAAAATGGTCTTTCCAGTATTCACTCATTACAGTTTCATCACAAATCATTTCATCACTTTTAAGTCCTTACCCTCTGATGGACATTCCTTGTTTAGAATCACCCATTTCAAGATTATTGTATAGTACAATTTTTCATGTTTTAATGGCTACAAATCAAGCTGATGTAGTTTATCCCTCACTATAGTACAGTAAATCACTGGACCTCTATCAAGCATAAGCAACTATGCTGGTTAGTCTGTATGATTATTATCTTTCAGGGTGATATAATCACTATAATCAGTCGAATAGATGAAAATTGGGCAGAGGGCAAGTTGGGTGATAGAACTGGAATTTTCCCCATCTTGTTTGTGGAGGTAAGAACAATTTATTGAATGTACTATGACTATACAGACATACCACACACTCTCACAGGATGTTCTTTGTGAAAACAGTTGATCATGGCTTGCAGTTTCAGGTGCTGAGAAGAGAAAAAGCTCTCATGGGATCCATCAGACGGTTGCTTAAAGCCATCTCATACTCATCAGTTGACAGATAGCAGGAAACTAAAAGAGACCTGAAGCTTCTCTAGCCAAGTATTGGAAGTAGTGAGTGGGACAGGATAACCTTGCCTTTAAAAAAATTAGAGTATATCCTGTTTATAGCTAAGGCTGCTACAAGAGCTGAGACTGGTAATAATGGACTCATCAGGGTATTTCTATTTTTTTTATAGAATGCTGCCTCAGCTTTATTTCTTTCACATGATTCAAATTGTTTCCCCATCTCTAATGACAATATACATATGCGCATTAATAAATACGCAAAAAAGAAAATCCATATTGATATGATTGTACACATGATTTGTGTTCCTATCCACCCAGCAAAAAATCATAAAAGTAGTCTTAATATATTGATGTGATCATTTGCATCATCACCCCACTGCCCAGATGATTGGTGTTAAGATAAAGAATTTGATGGAATTTGCCTATTCTGATAAGTCATAGTTTGTTTTAACCATTCTGTGTAGGGTAAGCCACAGTGGCTGAATCCACACATAATGATAAACCATGAAACCATTACAAACTCCAATGGTTTGGTTCACACATCATACTGAGCCAAAACCAAATAATCCATGTGGATTATCCATTTTCTTCTAGTAAATTGGGCAAATCGAACTATTTTGTTTTATAACCATGGCTTATGGCTTAATGTGTTGTGCAAACCCACTCAAATGTGGCTTGTTCAAACCACAAGACCCCTGTTTGAGGCCCCTATGCTGGGGATGCCACAAGGCCCAACACTTTCCCCTCTCTTGTTTGACATCAATATGAAGCTGCTGGGAAAAGTCATTTGTCTGTTTGGAATCAGGTATCGTCAGTATGCTGATGCTACCCAGCTGTATATATTAGGATCACCCAGAACTTTGCCATCTTTAGTCCTGAATGGGCTTTCACTTCCCCACTGAGAATTAGTGCACCATTTGGGAGTTTTCCTGAATGGTGCACTAATGCTCCTGAAGCATGAGATAGCAGCAGTAGCCAGGAAGGCCTTCACACAGAATTATCTTTTCCACCAATTGTCCATTTCTGGATTGGGAAGCCCTCCAGACAGTCACTCATGCTTTGGTCACATCTATATGGGCTGTCCTTGAAAGCCATTCAGAAGCTGCAGCTGGTCCACAATGAGCATGTCATGGTATACCCATGTACACATCTCTGTTGTGTGACTGCAGGGGTCACCAGTAGGCTTACAGATACATTTCAAGGTGCTGGTTATCACCTTCATGTCATAGGGCCTCGTTATCTAAGGACCATCTATCTCCTATAATGTCTGCCTGATGTGTTCACTCCAACAGAGTTGGCATGTTTCAAGTTCCATAGATTAAACTCTGCCACCTGATGGAACTCAGAATGTAACCCTTCTCTGTCACAACTCTTGCTCTATGGAACAGCAACAAACACACCCACACACTCCAGATTTGTATGGCCCTACCCTGGCCTCCTTCAAACCAGCCCTTAAAAGCTCTGGATTAAATTGGATGGTGGCTCTTTGTGAGAATGCTGTATGTTAAGAGGGTGTTGGTTTTATTCTTTCTGAGTGTTTCACAATCCTCTTTTTATTGTTGCTGTTAATTTGTTTTTATATATATATATATATATATTGTATGCCACTCAGAGTCACTAGAGAGTCGAATGGCCTTGCAAATTTGATAAAACATCAATAAGATTGTTTAATAAGCCATGACTTAGCACTGTGTGTAGACCCAGTCAGTAGCGCCATCCCCCACACAAGTTAGCATGTTGCCTGAGACACCTATTCAAGCAGTTCCTGGAGTTTCAGTTCTGGAACTTAACATCCTTGGATTTCTACCAACAAAGTCTCATTTTTTTTTCTTCCCCCTGCCCCTTTTCCAGCCAAATACAACAGCACAGCAACTTCTTCAGAGGAGCAAAACTTACCAGTCTTCCACCCTGAAATGTGCTTCTCCTTTACAAAAGTTCTTACCTAGACCAAAAGGGGTAGAGTCACCCACTTTCTGCAAAGGATCTGAATCCAGAAGGAAGAGCGTGAGGCAGTTCTCTATTACGACTGCCCTAAATACCCTCAACAGGATGGTCCATTCGCCCACAGGAAGGCAGACTTTGGAAATCAGTTCTCCTGTGCTCATCAGTTCTAGCAACCCTTGTGTGGCTAAAAAGAACCAAGAGAAATTAGAAGTCCCATATAACATACCAGAACAGGTAAATGCATTGTTTTCCCTTTTCTTTCATGCCTTTGTTCATTCTTTTTTTTTCCGTATCTCCATTGTATGCTGCTCATAAGGAAAACATGTAAGTGAGCAGACAATACACTTAAGAGCAGGCACTGTAAGGATGTGTTTTTGCTTACCAGGCAGCAGATCGAAAAGCAAACTTTATCTGCCATGGAAGGAAGGATTAGTTCTGGCTTCTAAAAATTTCTCTCTCATACTATGCTGTGCTACAGATGAAGGAGCAGTAGCAAACTCATTGGATTATCTCAAATGAGGTCCAGGACACAGTTCATTCTTATAGTTTGGTTCATTTCTCACCAAATTTTACCCATCAAGTTTATTTTTTGTTTGTAAAATTTTTGAGCATTCTTTCCAACTTAAAGTGCTTGAAACAGAACAAAAGGGCCATGAAATGGGTTCAATGAAGTCACGTAGTTTAATAAAATTGAAAATCAAAACCAAAGATTAAAAATAAATAAATAAATGCCAATACAAACCTTCAGCTATTGGTGGAATAAACAGTGACAGCGGTAATCCTAAAGCTCAGAAACATTCTAAAGCAGAAAAGGGCCATCTACATGTAGCCCAAAGCTCCCCCTTTTGGTGGGGGGAGCTCTGGGCCCTTATTCCCCTAGTCATAGCACCAAAATTTAGCTGCAAACTGATAAATAATGAGTGCATAATTTTATGATTTTCTGCAAGGAAAAAAAATCCAAGTAACATAAATGTCAGAAATCTCCAGTAAGTTTAATGGGCCTGTTAAAGTTTGATTCCCCCAAATCTAAAGGACAGTGGTCCAAAAACCTACTCTGATGCCATAATATCACTGCTGTGCAGCCATGGCTATTGGTTATAAGAGGTTTAACCATCTCTATTCTAGAGAATAGATCCTATTTCTAAGAAGGCTTGTGTGCTCTATAGATTCACCTATGTAAATCCTATAACGCAAGTCATGGTTTTATTCATTTGATAACTTGAAAAGAAGTCAGTGAGTGTTTGGTTCATAGAACAATGGTGCTAATTTCTTCATTTCTGTTTGCATATATTGTTCATAATCATGTTCACTGTTTTCCAAACTAATCAGGGATTTTATACAGACAGTCAATTTACCAGGGCAATCTCTTGAATTCTATAAAAAAATCATTCCTTTTTTCCTAATAATGTAATAAAAAGTACTGGTCAATATATCCCATTAGCATATCATTTTCTTATTTTTTATGGTAGATGCACTAAACCATTATACTACCCATCTGCTTAGATGTTAGGTCACTGAATCAGCATGTTACATACTAAAATTGCCTAATTCACTCCTGACCCCAAACCTTCATCCGGTTAGAAATTGCATAACAATAGGATTGATGGTCTTGAAAAACTGCAGTGATGAGATGGGACCACAAAAATCATTCCCATGCCTTTGCTTGGGTTCCAGGATTATAGTCTGAAGAATGGTAGGCATAGCTGGCTTTGAAAGCACCAGCCATCTTTTTGGAAAAAGGAGCCTGGATGCAGTTTCCCAAATAAACAATTACTTAGCTCAGAGCAGGCCACTCCAAAAAATCTTCTGTGCTATATGTATGGTCCAAACAAATGCCAATACAGGCATCTGTAAGAAAAAGAGAGGGCAAGTGACAAAACATGCACCATAGTGTCACAAGGCAAACTACATGATATACATACTTGCATGCAATATGTGAATGTCTGGGGACCACACTGTGATGTCACAGAATACGTGTCATAATTTTTTCATGATGGTTTATAGTTAATGCCTATAAGCACCAGGCTCCCTGCTGAGATATTTTCAGGGATGATGGTCAGCTAAAGCATTAATATGCTCTAGCTGGAAGAGCCATGTGGCAATGGTATCAACCTACTGAGTTTACTAACTTGGAATTTTATTTAAAAAGATTATATCATTACAAATTACTAAGATTGTTCTGAATTAATTTTCACTGTTTGCTTATCCATTTGGATCCTTCCAACTCTACAAAACTTCTATGGTCATAAATACCATTGAAAATAGCAGAATAGTATTATATACATACTATTTTACACTTACTTATTCCCTAAGTCTTGCAGAACCAGCTTACCTTTTTGTAGCTACATGTAAAGGTTACTTGACCATGAGCAGGGTCATTCACAAACACAAGGGCTACTCATTCTTCTGTATCAGAGAATTAAATTAAATCTGAGATTTAATTTTTAAAACCAGCAGGCAATGATAATGAAGATTAAAGAGTGCTGATGTGTGTGTGTGTGTGTGTGTGTGTCTGTGTGTGAGAT